CAGCACGAGTGCTGCGCGAGGTGATACATCTCAGGGATGCTGGCTCCTGCTGCCCAGAAGAGTCTGTGTCTCAGGACGACAGCGAGGAGCAGAAGGGGTGGCAGCAGTGAGGAGGGGCTGCAAAGATGCTCTGGGTGTCAGAATACCTTGCTGTGTTTCTGGTGCAACAGTAGTTCCTCAGGAACAGCACCGTCCAAAGCACACAGAGAGTTAAATCAGGACACCAGGCTGAGTTAAGGAGATAATTGTGGCTCTCCATTCCGTGTTTATTTGTTTTAGAAGGGTGAGTGTGCACACTTGGGGCTGCACAGACGAGTGACATAGCATGGGTCTTGCATAATGCCTGATGTCCCTGCAATTCTGCAAGACAGGGCTGTGCAGCATTTTCAGCAGTTTTCTTGAAAAGTACAAAACCACTTGAAACGTGTGTGTAGCTTTTGTGGCTAGGTCCTCAGAGACCGAAGTGCCAGAGGCTGCTCTGAATTCAGTGTCATCGCTGTTATCTGTTTTTCCTGGGTTTCTCATCCTTTTCATATCCATTAAACAACTTAAATTAAAAGAAATCCATTTGCTGGTCCCATTATGCTTGACCTACATCAGAGTCCTTGGATTTGTTTATAGAATGAAAGGACATTTTCATTCGTTTTTAGTGTCCCTTAAGTGCAACATGTGTTTGCATCAGTTTTTTGGAATGTATTTACTTACATGTATCACAAAGATGGTTCCTCTGAGTTAACTGCTCTGGGTCCTCGTGGCAAAAAACAATAATTTAGAGAAGTGGGAAACTGTTTTCTCAGAACAGTTGTTGTTAACACTTTTGTTTTCTGGTTTGCATACACGGACCTGTAAGGGTTTTTAGCAGCTGTATGAGGGTATTTCCAGTGTTCGGCCAGCTGAGATTGAAACCTCATTGAATCCAATTAACTTCTATTATGTGTCATTTTGGACCAGACTGTTTTGTCATGTAGTTTTGGCATTAGAAATTATTTATCTGTCGATCATAAAGTGCTGCTACTTGTTCTTGCTTCATAGGCATGGAAATGAACATGTATCTTCGGTATTTGCAGTCTCTATGTATTTTCAAAATTCCTTCCATTCATAATTACTAATTATAATTAAACACCTTACTATTTATAATCCTAGTTATTACTTTCATGCCAATGGGTACCTTTCCAATAAATTGTTCTGTTTAGTACAATTGGTTTCAGGGGTCTAGAGGACAAAGTGAATTACAAAAAACAATGAAAATGTAATTGTATCGCAGCAATCGGGAAGAATCCAGAAATTGTCTTTCTGTACTCTGCACCGGGCCTGCTGGCGACAGGTGCTGTTCTGTTTAGTACAATTGGTTTCAGGGGTCTAGAGGACAAAGTGAATTACAAAAAACAATGAAAATGTAATTGTATCGCAGCAATCGGGAAGAATCCAGAAATTGTCTTTCTGTACTCTGCACCGGGCCTGCTGGCGACAGGTGCATCGCAGCTGTCTCAAAGGGGAAAAAGGATTCTTGGCCACGAGCTGGTGGGGCTCATTGAGAGGGCTTTAAACCAGGTTCGAAGGGGGAAGGGGACATCGCCC